TTCCATGCCTGATCTGTCCTTGGATGGTGGACTGTTGGTCGTCAGCGACTCCAGGGCGAATGGCAAGGGTTCTGCAGGCTTTGTGCAGGACCGTATCTTGGTGGGAGGTGGGTCCAGCTTGCACGTGCACCATGCAGTGGGCGGTGACCTTTCCAGTGTGGTAGCTGCAGGGTGTTTGCAGCTCAGCCCGGGTGCGACGGTACTCCTGCAAGATGTGGTGGGAGGCCACGGCTTTGGCTTGGAAAATGCCGACTGCCCCGCAGACTGTGCAAATCGAACATTCGAGATCGCGGCCGGTGCATCTTTGAAGGCTAGTGGGCATTTAAGCTCGGGTTTCCTCTCAATGAACACGTGTCCGCTTGAAGTCGTCCACCTTTCTGACATACACCTCCAGTCGTGGTCCAGTCCACTGCTGAGCACACCGGTGCACCAAGTGGTAGTCAGAGATGTCAGCATTAGCTATGCGCCGCCGTTGCACGATGTCCTCGTCTTGGCCACAACAGATAGCTTCAAAGCCGATTCGTTGGACGTTTCATGCAAGGATTGCGCTCATGGAGTTGCCTTCAATGCAAGCGGGAACGAACTGCGTGCCCTGAGCACTCCATCGCTTGTTTGCCCGTTGGCAGCATCGGTATCGGAAGGCATGCTGCAGCGATGCACTTGTGCCAACCACCAGACCACCAGGCAGGCATACGCTGATCGTCAAGTCGTGATGCTGCAAGAAATGATGAAGACATGCACTTTCTGTGAACCCCACACTCAGTTCATTAATGGAACATGCCGCAAGTGCGCACCATACAAAGCTTGGTCGGATGGCATGTCTGACAGCTGCCACTTCTTGCCACAGGATGGCACACAATTCGGTGCTCTGTTTGCAGCGTCTGCCAGCTGTATCTTCCTTGCCTTCTTGTTTTACCAGATCCTGCAAGCTCCTTTGGTTATCGTAGATGCAAAATCGCAGCGGATCCCCCACAGGCTACGCAAAGCTGCAGGCAAGGCATTCCCAGAAGGGATGGAGCAGAGGTCGTTTTCCATGTCCTTGCAAGGCCCCATTGTCGATCTTCCGCAGTTCCTGTCCCGGCAGCTCAATCGGCAGCTTTGCTATCGCGTGAAAGGCGCGGGCCTTCAATGGTTGGACTTCAGCCCCGACAATGAGAATGCAGTGAAGATTCAGAGTGTCGACCGCAGCAAGCTTGAGGTCCAGGATGCACATGTTCCATACGATTGTGCCGCCGCGGTTGGTGCCTTGTATGCTACGAACCTCATGCGTCTGATGCTGCTACTTTGTGCAACGTTGTTCGTGGTGGTGTTGCTGCCAGTCGCTCTTCAAGTTGCCATCATGTCGGGTAATGGCGTTGCACACGTTCTTGTCACTTCCGGATACTGTGCACTCCCTTTGTGTTTGGCAGCTTTGATTCTTCACCCGGCCGTGGCATGGCTCATTGAGCAGCACTGCCGCAGAACGCCCTTCGCTAAACTCTTGGAAGACTACCGGTGGCGCATCCAGTTCGACCCCAACCCCGGCCCGGATGCAGACAATCCAAGCAACCAAGGTTTCTGGGCTCAGAGTGGGTGCACGCAGAACCCCAGCCCTTGGAGCACCCTAGAAAGACCCAGAGCCCCTGAGGTTTGCTAATATTCATTTGCTGACAAATGCCTCAGGTTTGATGGCCTTGACCTTGTGGGAGCTTTGGGGGCACTTCGAGAGCTTCATCCTGGATCGCAACATGCATTTTGTGGTGAGCAACATAGTCCGGCCTTTGACTCGTGACAAACAAGTGTCCTTCGTGAGCCTCTGGGGCGGAAGACAGGCGGGGGCTTCCAAACGCTTTGTCCTATATACAAGAACCTGTATCCGTTCGAACCTTAACGACGGGCCCTGTCCCGCTAATCCGAGCCTATGTGATCTAAGCTCTCCCAAGGTGGACTACTTTGTGTCCCATTCCTGGGCCACAAGCTTTGCACACTTTGTACGCTCGATTCACTGTCATGCTCGGTCCAGGGAAGGTCAACGTTGGCTGCTTGGTGGTGATTGGAGAGTCTGATCCAGCTCGATCTTGCACTCTTACATCTCCAGCTCGAAGTGAGAACGTGGTGCTAAGCTTAGGCCTGAGACCTGAGAGCCCCGAATCATTCCGTGCCAAGTGGCTCAATCCTAGATCCGTTCCTTGTTGTCTTGGCTTCTCGAAAGGATTCTTCCATAGTCCGACTCCAGTAGGACCGAGAGGATCAAGGAATCTGCTCGAAGTGTGCAACGAACAGTGGTCATTTACAGCGTCTTATATTGGCTGAATTCCATTCCTTCGCCTCAGACCACAAGCCCCAAACCATCGAGCAAAGGTGAGGTGGCTGGCAAACTCCTTACCTAGCAAAAGAACGCCTTAAACCCCAAAGCCCGAACTCTGAAACCTTCAACCATGTATCCTAAACCCCAAACCCCGGACCCACCGCAGGATGGACGTGAGCTACTGGATTTGTTCTTTTGCAAATAACCAGTGGAACCTCGAGGTAGAGTTCCTCGAATGCAAGAAGGGGCGGTGGCTGAGAGTTGAATTATGCACAGACACAAGCAGTTACAATGTCTTCACACATGTCGCTTTGTGATACCATCTAAAACACGTGTGCGCACTCGCGCACATGCGTCTATGGGTGTCTATTTCTTGCGCATAGTGTAAGGCATGAGGTTAACTTCGACCGTGCAACACCAGCAAGCAGGACACGCTGCATCATGTAATTCCTGGTGTACGCTGCGCACGCAAGATCAAAATCGCGATCTTTCCAAGAGCATCGGGGCCCGTGACATTGGCCTCATGCCGCTTCCGTACGCACCGTCTGGGTAATTGAAATTGAAATCCGCAGGTGCATGCATGAGGCGGAAGCTAACGGAGCAACCTCGCGTTGTACGGCAGGCTAAAAGGCGGGAACTACAAAACCGAAGAGCAAGTTCGTCTGTGTTGTGTCACGCTAAAGCGGGATTTCAATTTGCAGATTTACGGCCGTAAAGTGGGCTTAAGGTAGTCCTAAACTGGTTCTGCGAGGACCTCCGAGTGCTACTGAAGCCTAGAGTCAGAGTGGAGTGCTCGATCGGATCAACAGAACAGGGCTGACGGTTAAGTGAAGTCAGGATGCAAACTCAACAGCTGAGCTGTGCAGCTCGTAAGTGCTGGTTTCGTCCTGGTCAGGTTGGGAGAGACCATCATGGACAGTGCTTTTGCCCGGACCCTGCGTGGCGGCATCAAGGGTGTGGCCATGGT